AGGACAGTAAGCTCTTAGAGCATCTCTCATTGTCAGTTGTGTGAGCCACTAGAAAGGGGGAGTGGATGTGATAGAAAACTTTGAACTTCTAAAATTCAATTGCAGTGCTGTGCACTGATCTTTTCAAAGCAGAAGCCAACGCATGAATTACACTGGCATTAATAAAAGCAGCAATTTTGTGTAGCTCTGAGCAAACACCTGTGCCAGTTGAGACGACTGCGCATTCCTCCCATGCTACACTGAAAGAGAGGAATAATATCAAACACTGCATTCAGAAAAAATAGGAGAAGGAATGTGAAAAGGGAAGCTAAATAATCTTCTGTATTAGAGATTAAGTCCAGCCTGGGAAGCAAAAGTACAGGCATAATTGTAAAGACTTGGACTCGTATCTAGTTTGGAGCCTGATGTTCATTTGAACCAGACCTGCTGTTTCTAGCCAGGCTTAGACTGGTGTTTTCACTAGAACTAGAGAAATCCCATTTGTCAGCTGTTACAATGCCGCCGTCCTTGGGAGAGGATCTCTCGCCAGCTGAAAGCCAAAAGATGCTGTACTACGCCCGACGGCAAGCTTGTGGGTGAGCCGAGCAGCGTGCTAACAGCAGCAGCAAGTTTGCACGTACGACTACCCATCTGCCACTGGAAGGCATCAAAATAACAGCGACAGCAACCACAGTCCACCAACCTCTTGATCAGGCAGAGCAAGCAAGCACATGACCAAAACCAATGAAACTGGGAGAAAAAACGGCGCTGAACACTTTACCAAATGGTTAACATGTGCACATGCAAGGACATGAGCTTGTTAAAGGCAATCTAGATTCCCAACCCTAGGAAAACAGACAACAGGAGAGGCTATCAAAGAAACAAATGCTGCTGCTGCTGCATACATTACGTCAATTTTAGACTAATTCGCTACCACCCAAGAGGAACACATGAATCATACGTGGACCCAAATGTAATCAATATCCATTTACTTCTCTCTGCACATCTGCCAGTGTTGAGAGACTGATAATAGACATCTTCATCTCAGTTGACAACAACATTCTCAGTTATTTTCCCTCCTCCTTCCATCCTTCACCCCGATACACACAAATTTTTGTCTGACACTTACAAAACACTGCCATTAACCACAATGCTACTTTAGGGTTGGCATCACTAAGTGAGTAATGAGGATACTTTATAGGAGAGTAAACATGTGCTTCTGATACATGAAAAACCGTACTATGTTTATCACGTACATTCCCTTGCATTGCTCCAGACATGGAAGGGAATCCACACCATCACTGTGCCTCAACAGATCGCTTTTCCCTGTAGCATTACCTCCCCAAGGCAGCGTTCACTAACGTAATTTTTGTGGTGCCCTTTTCTCTGTTACAGCCAGTGTTCTGTCATGTACCTGTGGTCCCAGCCCACACAGAACCTGGTATTTGCACCAGATCTTAACCGCTTGATATTCAGTCCAGGGTATGAATCACATTTAACAGGAAGTAAATAGGCAGCCAGGGAGTTCAAAACAAAAACCTAGGTGAGATCTAAATTTAATAAAATGGATTTCTATCCAACAAAATGAAAACGTGACAACAGTGCACGCCGGCATCCCTGTGCTAGTTTTATCCACTCAGTGCAGCTCAGAGAAGCAATGGCACCACGGAATCGTGCCTGCCTGTGCCCCGGCACCCCGCCAACTTGCAGATGCTGAGGCTGTGAAGCTCACTCTCCCTGCTACCGTCACCTCGGCCAGCCTGGTTCACCTAGCCTGAGCTGCCTTCGCATCGCTGCGTACCTTACGACTAATTCACCGTTGGGTAAGTATATTTACCCTCTTCCAGAAACTGCGCTGAAGCAGATGCCAAACAAATACAACCCATACAGCAAATCTGCTGCCTTTGTAATACTCTCCTTGGAAGGAAGGAGCAAAATTACTTAGGCCAAAATTTACACACCATAAAAGACGTTACATTATAAAACTTCATCTAATTAGAAAAGAAGAGAGACCTTACTGCAGCCTCCCAGTGCTTAAAGGGGGCTTATAAGAAAGATGGGGACAGACTGTTTAGCAGGGCCCGTAGCGATAGGACAGGGAAAACCGTTTTAAACTAAAAGAGGGCAGATTTAGACTAGATCTAAGGAAGAAATGTTTCACAGCGAGGGTGGTGAAACCCCGGCCCAGGTTGTCCAGAGAGGTGGGAGATGCCCCATCCCTGGAGACATCCCAGCTCAGGCTGGATGGGGCTCTGAGCAACCTGCTCTGCTTGAAGATGTCCCTGCTCACTGCAGGGGGGTCGGACTAGATGGCCTTGAAAGGTCCCTTCCAGCCCAAACTGTTCTGTGATTCTGTGCTAAGTTCTAAATCTAATGCTTTATGTATGTGAAATATCATAATTAATTTTATACATTAAACAAAAAATAAACTCTGATGTTTTACACTGAACATCACGTACAGAACTAAAAACAACATTAAGCTTTACTAATGCTTAAGTTGGTATGTATACCTATGTACTACAGCTGTTACACCCCTTATAGAAGTGCTGTGGTAATCCAGAGCAATCCCCTGGTAAACATTATTGTTAGCAGCAGCATTTTAACAGTTTGTGTAAAACAACAGTGTTTGGTACAACATTTATATTTTTTATATGCTTTTTTTTTTTGGTGATAACTTAGCTTCCCACCATAATGTAACTTCACAATTCTCAGGAATACACAAGCAGGACAAACTGATTTTTCATGTGTGTTATTGTATACTTATGTTAACCCTTACAAATTCACTGCATACTTACCAATTACTTAAATAATTACAAGTTACTTACATATATGTGAAAAAAATAATCTATTACATACCTTTGATTGCGGGTGGGACCGATTTAGTTGTGCAGAAGGTACATATTTCTGAGAAAGGTCCTTCCCCAGCATCATTGACGGCTTGTATTCTGAATGAGTAACAAGTGGATTCTGTCAGCCTTTGTATCTTGTATGTATGACTTGGTCCCCTATAAATCGGAATAAACCTGGAAACAATAAAAATAAGAACATGTAGTTACTCTGGAGTGGCTATTACACATATCAGCACAAGGTATCCATATTATGAAAACTGGCACAACACGCTTTGCAGAGCTGTTAAAGCCAAGTATAAAAATGTCACGTTATTAACACACTAACAATGGTTAGTATGTTACGGAAAGCAGTAGTTCACTGTCTCTTTTGCAACTAATACTTACCTTGCAAAATGATTATGTGAATTATCAGGAAAACCATCTGTCAATGCACTTCCTACTACCTAGTAATCAAGACAGATTCAACCTGTGTTCTGCTGCAATTCACCACGTGTGCTGCTGGTTTAGAAGTATGTTTAAAACAAGATTAATATGCTGAATCTTTTATTGCTTGATTTGGACTTTATTAAGACCCAAAGACCACATCTTACACTCAACCTGTGCCATCTTAAGCCAAGGTAACCCTATTTAAATGTGAACATACAGATTGCATAATATACGTGCAATATATTACACGCTTTTCAGTTTTGAAGAGTTCACAGGCTGAAGACAGGTAAACAGCAGAGACAGAAACAGATTCAGAGAGAACACTCGTGGTCTGGGAGTGAAAAGGCACAGGGGAAGCACGATTATAGCGTGGGGGATATGGAGGATGGAAAAGGATGCCAGCTTAGGAGCTCTGGGACACCCGCGCTGACAGCTCTGCTCGAGAGCAGGCTGAGAAGAAGAAAAAGAGACTAAGGAAGTGTCTTGCAAAATACTTCCATTGACAAGACCAAACATCAGCATACTCAAACTTGTCCAACAATGTAACACAGAACAAAATCCATGTCACTTAAACTTGAAAAAAAAAGGGCGTGGGTGGGTCAACAACACACGACTACAGTTGCTGGAGAGAATCTGACTCCTATTTTCAATTGTTCTGCTCAGAGAAATGCTTTTCAGTAATAGTCGTATGTCAGCCAGCAATTCCTAACTGAGAACCTGACCCCCCAGGTGCTGAGCAGAATGGGGAGGAGGGTAATAAAGGGGAAGGACCCAGCATCTTGCATCAACCCACTTAGCCTCCGCTGGGGAACTAGGTCTTACCTGCAACAGTCTGAATCCGGAGAACATAAAATTCACTGCGTAGAATCACATAGGTTTTTTTTCATGATTTAGTACACTTTTTCAAATACCTTAACCATTTCAGTGGATTTTAAATTGCCAGGAAGTCAACAAAGAGATTTGTTTTTGACCTTCCTATCTAGGTGCTAGCTTTACCCTGGATAATAAGTCCTTTGGCTTTGCATGAGACAAAAAGTATAACCAATTTGAGCATTTCAAAGAAATTGGGTCTGCCATTAGCTCTCAGGGACAAAAATCAATTCGTATTACATTATGATTGAAATCCATGGAAGTACAAACAGAGAGATCAAGAATCATCTGTAATAAAAAGAAATGTTCAGGTAATTTAAATTGCTGGAAATGTACTCTGAGGACTAATGTGACTTACTACCCCCACCGAGTTTAAGTGAGCCTCTCACCTTGATTGGAAATCAAAGATCTATGCCCACAAGTTTTTAAGAGGAGATTTTAGAGCAAGTTTCCAAAGAAGAATTTTTTCCCCCAACCTTATGCTTACACAGTTTTAAGGTCTGCCTGCTCTTCCGTGTTTCTGAGGCTCACATAGGCAGCTACGGCACATTTCCAAAGACTGCCACAGACCTGTTCTCACGGAATAGAATTTCTTGGGATTCACCGCACGGTGAACAAAGCATATGTATTTAGGACAGCAAGAAGACTGAAAAGACAAGACTACTCCGTCCCTCCCTCTCCACTCCGGTAGCTCAATCAGGCAGCTGGCTCAGAAACCTCTGCAGTACTAACAGAAGTGCTGAGACTTGTCTCTCACCCTGATCCAAGGGCAACAGATAGCAAAAAAGATGCAATGCAGTATTTTAGACTAATGCCTTCCTTGTAATCATCCATGGAGCGAGATAAGCAAGTAGGATAAATATACCTTACCAGGTACCACACAAGCACACCCACACCCCAGCTTGGGCTTATGGTACACTTGCCAAACATACTTATATGGTGACTACCAATGACTTAGTCCTGAAGTTACCCCTTCACCTTTTGAATATGATTAAGGTTTCATAACACTGAAAAAGGGATCTGGCAAAACACCTGAGCTCCTCCTGTTATTCAGGAACTGGACTCATACTTCCATCCGGTTTCCACTTCCATCCCTTTTTACTTCTCCATCTCAAGAAACATCCATTAATGAAAGCAAAAACTGTTACAGAGAAGCTTGCATCCACGTTCAATACACAAGACTGTAATGGAAGCACACTTAACCTTCTGAGATGCAACCATCTTTGAAGAAAGAGGGTTTCCAATTTTGGAAGAAGAAAGGCTGATGACTAAGTCAATCAAATTCAGTTGCTATTAGGCTTCACTATGACAATAATGCTTTGTATTTGTGATTGAAGATGCAGATCATGACGTAAGAAACATGATGATGGAACATTTTAAACTTCGAAATACTAGCGATGTTTTGCTAACAATGTAGTATTTTCCTCATGTCTAAAGTAGGTACTTTGTATTTCTCCAGAATTATTTCTGTTGTCTTTAAAAAGTGTAGTTATTTGATGTACATGGCTATAGACTTGGAACAATATATCCTACAATCTTTTTTCAGTCTCCCAGGCTTTCTGCTGAAGGACTGCAATGCACTTAAAGTCGAATCAGCATGATTGTACATTGCTACTGTGACAACTGCATATGTTAAAAATTGTCTAAAGTAAGATAATTTGTTCATATTATTGCAAGTTCATTTTTTAAATTTAAAGATTTATATTTAAATCTAAATCTAATTTAAAAAGCACATTTAAACATGAGCTCTATATACCTTTGCCTTCTTGGCAAGCCTGACATTGTCCACTGTGCTTTATCCAACCCTGTTCCACACATTTTTCTTAAGCACAAGCCAGCTTTGAGCTTGTTTGCAACAACTTCATCCCTTATACATTTAAGAGTTGACTTCATCTGCTTTTAGAAAAGCTCCCACATTCTCTATGTCCCTCTCACCTTCTTCCAGCCTCTACTCAGTTCTCTGTCTGAACACAGACAATGAGTTTTCCTTACCAGATGCTGCGGGATGCCATAAGCACGGTCATTAACAAAACACAGCCATCAAAAACCTTTCTGGATTTTCAGGGCGATAGCTGAACTACATGGAGGGTGGTGGATTTTTCTACATCCCACTTCACTCATCTAACAGAGCTTTACATCATACATAAATTGAATGTGAGAAGACATAAGTCCCAGTCTCCACAGGGCAGCAACACAACTTGCACATCGTGCCATGGGAGCTGGCAGGCTTGTAGAGGAGCCAGACGCATGGCTCACCAGAGCTTCCTTCCCACACCATGAAGCTCGAGCTGAGGGATGGGCACATGGTCAAACACGACCGACATACCACAGCTTTCCATGCTGACACTTCTTGTCGCTTCTACCAAAATGGATACGCTTTTAGCTGATCCAACTGCAATGTTGAAAAAGTTAGTTTAAGCTTCAGTGAAATCATGACCAAATGCTAGTGCTGATGTCCCTTAGGACATGTGGCAGCTACGCTTGCCCCGGCCTCCCTGGGCCGGCTATTCCCATCCCCGTGCTGCTCCTTCAGTACCAGTATTTATAGGGCTAAAAGGTGAACTGGATTTGAGAACTGACAGAGGCTAAAGAACTCCCCAAGTAGGGTAGTCTTATACTGGATTAGTTTCCTGGCTGGTGCAATGTCACACGTTAACACAGTTGTATTGGTAAAACTGAGTGGGATAACATGGGGACACAAGTGGTTTAAACAAGCCAAAAGTGCTCCTGTTCCTGTATAGGAATGCACTTATAGAAATATAAGTGTGTTTACTTTTGGTTTCTTGTTTCTTCATCATTCCTCTCTTCCAAGACAGCCAAAAAAAAAGCACAAAACATGCTCGAGTGTGTCTCAGCCAAGATGTGTTCATTCTCCAACATCTACCCGCTGAGACCATTTGTGGGAATCCCTGAAGTGTGCTAATATGCACCAAGAAATCTTTAATTCTAAAAGGTTTGCCCAGTCACATTTAAAAGATAGTAGGCTGCATACCTTAAACTGATACTTGAGTCTTTGAAAAAAGACTACCTCTGTGGTGAGTTAATGGCATTCGCAATACAGTCGCACTGGTTTTTTTTAACGTTTGCACCATCCACAAGTAAATTCGTATTACTCAAAGTTAACACGCTGCAGTGTTGCCTGTCCTCTCCAGTGAAGTAACAGCAGAAATTGAAAAGAAAGCAACTTTCTCCAGGGCTGGAGACACTCCCCAGAGGCGACTTCCCCCTCACCACTTGAGCGGTCCCAATTCTCCATATCTGTCATGGATTATTCATTTACCTACACAGAGTGGAGGAGAGAGAACACAATGTCCTAGAACGATTGTTTGGGAGACACCACTGCTGTTAGTTTTTCATCAATACCTTTTTATTCTCAGTGAAGATCTTCTTGGAAGTGTTTTACATGTTGCAGCTATTTTGTTTCCTCCACTTCAGTCACTTCCAGTCGAGCAGAGGAGTATGAATGTACTCGTTCTACCTCCGCTCATTAGTTCTCAGCACATTTTAATCAGCAGGTTCCCTTTCAAACTCCTGGGTTTTGTTTATGTGTTAGTAACCCGTTTGTCCTTACAGCAATTTAATTTGAAAGAAAATCTACCATATAGCACTAAATAAGAGAGCGATCTTGAGCTAAGAACAAAGGCTAAAATAGCCATCCGAATGATTCTGTTACTGCCTCCCAGAAAAATGTGGTCATCTGCCACAGTTCTGGCTGGAGAGAAATCATTAGTACAGCACTGGTCTGACCTGGCGACCTGAGGCTTCGTTTCAGTGTACACGGGCAACTGCATAATTATAGACTAAACTACATTATCTTCATACATCAACAGCTCTTAATATCACTATTGCAACACCCCTGTTACCTGCACAATTATAGCCCCCACTTACTTTTTTAGACCATTCCTCTATTTTGTTTAAAGAACATTATCAAGGG